TAGAATTAACTCTCCAAGTAAATTCCATGTTCTAAAAGATGTTCATCAATCTGTAAATATTTTTTCTCAGCTACAATATAAAATTATACCTGACTTATCACAGGCATTAACGTTAGCTCCATGATTTAAAAGTAATTCAGCAATTTCTATTTCCTTATTTTCAATCGCATCGTGAAGCGGAGATGTGCCATCCAGAGTTTTAGCATTAACGTTAGCACCTCTGTCAAGAAACATTTTAACTCCATTTACGTGTCCTTTTCGAACAGCAAGACACAGTGGTGAAATACCTGAAAAGGAAGAGATATATGTAGAATTAACTCTCCAATGAAACTCCATGTTCTAAAAGATGTTCATCACTCTGTAAATATCTTTTCTCAGCTGCAATTTAAAGTTCTACCTGACGTATCACTGGCATTAACGTTAGCTCCATGATTTAAAAGTAATTCAACAATTTCTATCTCATCATATTCAATCGCGTCATGAAGCGGAGTTGTGCCATCCCGAGTTTCAGCATTAACGTTAGCACCTCTGTCCATGAGCATCTTAACACCATTTACATGTCCTTGTTGAACAGCGAGACACAGTGGTGTAACACCTGAAAAGGAAGAGATATATGTAAATTTAAAACTCCCCAATTAAACTCCTTTTTCTAAAAGATGTTCATCAATCTGTAAATATCTTTTCTCAGGTGCAATATAGTTATACCTGTCTTATCACTAGCATTAACGTTAGCTCCATGATTTAAAAGTAATTCAGCAATTTCTATTTCCTTATTTTCAATTGCATCGTGAAGCGGAGTTCTGCCAAACTGATTTTCAGCATTAATGTTAGCACTTCTGTCTAGAAGCATTCTAACAATTTCTATGTCACTATTTATAACAGCAAAATGAAGTGGAGTATCATGAGATTCGTCAGTGTTGCTGTTAACTTTAGAACCGTTTGTTAAAAGTAGTTTAATAACTTCTGTATGCCTTTTCTCAATAGCATCACAAAGTAAAACATATCCTTCTTTCCATGCTTGTGAATAAGATAGTCCAAAATAAGTAAGTAACTCCCTTGCTNTTTCTAGGTTTCCTTCACGAACTGCACATATTAATTTGTAGCTTGTATCAATATAGTCTATGGTAAAAATAGTGCTCAGTTTGCATATTTTTTTCTAAAATCTCTCTTCTATGTTGTTTCTCTGTTTAAGTTTTAGTTTTGGTTTTCCTATAATTATTTATATGTATAAGTCGTAATTCTTAGTTCGCATAAAATCTAGTTAGCGGTAATGGGAGCTTTCCAGTTAGACCCTTGCGCCGCCGTACTACGCCGCCGCCGCCGCGGATAAATTATTGGGTGTGTTTAGCCGAAGCTAGCGCTACGTAGCGCTACGTAGCGGCTTCATGTAGCAGTTGCAATTGCTGCGTTACTTCTGCTGGACAGTATTGCTACGCGCAGCGCTTTTTGTAAGCGCAAATATGTTTGTATACA